TGCAAACTTAGGTTGTTAACCATCCAGGAGACAAGCTTATTGTTATTGCCATATAACCTAGGCTGTTAAGCTTAACTTCACTATCTGTCTGAGTATCAAACATCTTAGGCATAACATGGAACAGGTATTTTTCATCAGGTATTGATATGTTGAACTTTTTAAAGTCCCTACAGAATATGATGAAAAAATATTTAAAAATTAGAATATATTTTAAGAATAGGCACAAAGAATTATGTAATTCTTATGTTTACATATAAGTCCAGAAATCTAACCATATACAACCTTGTCCCCAAAACGTTATTAGCTCCAATGATCTTTCCTACAGTTATCAGATAAACATATAATGAACTGAATATTAATGGGTAAGCCTGGAACTACAGCAGTACATGGTGCATGCTTCTGAGTATCAAAGGTCAAGACAGTTCAGCCAGTGCTTTCAAAATTGTGTGCTAGGGTTGGGGAGATAGCTCAGTGGCATAAGCACTCACCTCGCAAAAGCAAGATCCTGAGTTTGATCCCTGGTACTGAAAAAAAAAAAAAACCACCAAAAAACAAAACAAAACAAAAAAACCACCAAAAAACAAAAAAATTGTGTGCCAGCAGTTGGAAGTACAATCAGAGGTACTGGGCATGGTAGAGCATGCACAAAGCCCTGGGTTTAATCCCCAGCAATGCACAGAAAACAAACAAATGAACAGACCAATGAACCAACCAACCTGCATGCCAAGAAGACAGGGTTGTTGCAGTGACCTCACAGAGATATTTGAAATTTAGGGAAACACCATTACCTGACATTGCTGAATACCATACAAACTAATAGTCTGAGGTAGTTCATGGCTTTAACATTAGATATGCTATACAGCATGCTGTCTAATAACATCCTATTGTTTTGAAGGGCTGCATGGTTAGCCAACATTTTGGCCCCAGCCTTTCAAGGTCAGTGAAGACTCAGGACATAGGAGAACCTGTACTGTAACAACATGTAACTCAGCTGTGCTCCAAATTTTCTGATCAAGAAGATTATGG